CTGGGGCTGTACCCCTGGGGGCACACGCACGTGTATCCCGGCTGGGCGTTCTGGCACGGCGTTGATGCCGCACGGGCGGTTGAAGGCCGTGCACTCGTCGATGTCTGACGGGGAGGAGAGGAGGAAGAGAAAGGAATTATTATTTTGTGTCTTTTTCTCATGTATGTGTGATGTGTGATGTCTAAAAACAGCAGAGATTGAAGAAACAATGAAGACGGTAACAAGTGATGATAACCATAATAACAATAAAGAAAATACCAATAAAAAATACAATAAAGAAAATAACAACAAAGAAAATGAAATAACAATAAAAACAACACTAACAACAACAACAATCACAAAAAAAAAGACTTTGAACTCACCAACGCATCCGATATAAGGGTCTCCAGTATAGTACTCTTGGCACTGGCACGAGTAGCTGCCCACGCTGTCGACAGACGGCGTTGGCACGCAGGGGTTGCTCTGGCACTCGTCGACGTCTGTGAGTGACCGCAAGAAGGCGTTAGAATAAAAGATGTGGAATTATTTACACTTACGGAAGGGCCGATGGTACAGCCTGAGGACCGGGGATGTAAAAGAAATTGTAATAATTCTGATACTAATTGCAATGATAATAATGATAATCTAAAGTGCTGATAATATCAATAATAATGATAATAACAACAATAAGAATGATAATAACAACGATTATAAAAAAACAGTGATATCAGCAATGACATTATTATCAATCAAAACAATAAAAAGGAAACAGATACTGAATTCCTCTCGCATTTTCGACAAAGGTCACTTTCTCTCTCGCTATCATTATCACCATTTTTTTTTTCATCTGTAAGAATGCAAAGTGCAGCATATTACAGTCCTTGAGCATTAAACCACTTGAACACTGAGTCACAGCAGACAAAGCAAATAAACTTGACTACCCCACTAAAGACACTGTAGGTTCGTATCCCACGTGACAAAAACAGCTGTTGACTGGGAGTTAAATTCAGCAAAGCCAAGTTAACAGTCTAAATCTAACCCAATACGTACGCTATGCGATGTTAATACCACCGTGTTTGAATATTGTTATTGTTAGAGTGTAATTGACAAAATAAATATTAGTCCGATAATTCCACTGGTTAATTGGTGTGATTTCGGTGTTAATTCGTCAATAAAGTGCATAAAAATATGGCGACCCAATTTCGGTATCCTGACAAAAAAAGAAATTATAACCTTAAATTAAAAACAACAAACATATAATAATTACGAAATACAATATCTATACAATGCAACTAGAATACCTAAATATATATACCAATAAATACATATACAAAAAGAATGGTCTTTGAAACGTCAGTTTGTACAGTCAGATACAATATTCTTTACAGAGCTGAGGATACAGTGAATTTACAGAAGACGACAAAAAAGTAATAATAAAAGGATGAATAAATAATAATAAAAAATACTTTTGAATACTGGAAGTACATAGCATGCTGTAGATACAAGATACAGTACATTTACATTAAGATATACAACAACTAACACGCACACACACGAACGTCCAAGTACAATACAATAGCGGAGAATAAATACTACGAAACAACACATACAGAGCATACAAAGGAAAAACACTACACGCCATTCACATCCAAAAGAATCTAACACAACGCGTAACAAAGAAAGATCTTAAAACAAACAGAAGTAAGAGCAAAGGTACGCCTCGGAAGTCCTTTTTTCGTCACGCTGCTCACCCGAAGGCAACAGCGACTCGGACGGGTGTCATCGCGTGTCATCTGTCATCCTGCGTGTCCAGCGGGAGAGTCAGGGGTCGGGGGCTGACAGGTCTTGGCAAGAGGCTGGGAATGAGCCGATTTCTCATTCATAGTCATTTCTCATTAAAGGCGGTGTCTCTTCTCCGGTCACGTCAACTAATGCGTCACTTTACATACATACATACATACATACATATATATATATATATATATATATATATATATATTATATATATATAATATATATATATATATATAATATATACACACACACACACACACAACACACATGTACATGTATATATATACATCATAGCTATATATATATATATATAATATAATATATATATATATATATATAATATATATATATTACATATATATATATATATATATATAATATATATATATATATATATATATATATACATATATTATATAAATGTAAATATATATTATACAGTACTGCATAAATTGTCTACGTGCTGATAAAGTCATCGAATAAGTAAAAGTCGTCAAAGGAAATATTTGCTGAACCAATAACTCTCAAGTCCAGTTTTTTTCCTTGTGCTTGTAGAGCGAGTCCAAGTTGCTGGTCAAAGACAGAAAGTCGGGCAAGTTGCATAACGTCTTGTAATTAAGCGCAAGTAAACACGGGTTTCTGGAGTTCAGAAAGAAAAGCGAAAAATACACAGGTCGATAAACGATAGAAAATGCAGAAAAAAAATCTAAATACAAGAAGGAGAAAGGCTCGAATCCTCAAGGCGCTCGCAAGGAGAGGCTTCCTTCTCATTCCTCTTTTCACAAACGCTCGAAGACGAAGTGGTTCCTCCAGCGCCCCCGGAGGGAGGAGGCGGAGGAGGAGGATGGCGAAGGATCCTGCTCCAGAGAGGAGACGAAGGAGAGGGAAAGCAAGGTCCAAGGCGGGGGTCCTAGGGCGTCGCAAGGGCGTCGTCGAGAGAGGAAGGAGGACGGGACTACTAACTGCTGCAGGCCACGTCGCCGTCGCCCTCGAAGCCGCGCGGGCAGTAGCACTTGTACGAGCCCGGGACGTTCATGCACTTGGCGTTCTCGCCGCAGGTGGAGGCCAGCCCGCACTCGTTCACGTCCGTGCACTTCTCGAGGGGCTTCCCCGAGAAGCCGGCGGGGCAGCGGCACTCGTACGAGCCCGGCGTGTTGATGCACGTGGCCGCCTCGCCGCACGGGAAGCTCCAGTTCGACGCCGCCTGGCTGATGGCGTTCTCCAGCGCCTCCGGCAGCAGCTTCTCGAACAGGTCGTCGACGAGGGTGACGTCGAGGGTGACGCTGGTGGTCGTCTCGGCGCCGTCGTCGTCGCGCTCGGAGCTCGGGTCGACGCACTCGTTCACGTCTTCCAGGGTTAGCGGCGGACAATTAGTTTCCCTCACTCGCTACTCCTCCGGGCTCTCTTTTTAGTAGGTTAGGCCATAAATGTGCTTCTAGGTGTGGGTTGTGTTGATTAATTCACCGTGAGTCTCCGGTAAGCTAGTAATTAGTGCCTACTATCATTACATTAGCGTCATACCGCGCCGTTAGTTCCAACAACACTACCCTTTGTTCGAAAAGCTATACTGGCTAACTCTGTTATGGAATTAGTGAGTCATGGTACAAAAAAATTACTCATTACCCCAAAACAAAAGCTATGTTATTACTATCTCTAACAGCAAACTAACACCTCCCCCCCCCCTCTAAACAAACGCGAAAAAGCCCCTCCCCGTTTCTTTACCTTGGCAGGCGCCGTACATGTCGTAGGGTCACCAATGTAACCGGCCGGGCACGCGCAGGTGTAGTTGTTGACGCCGTCCACGCAGATGGCGCTGGCTGCACAGGGGTTACCCGCGCACTCGTTGATGTTCTGCGGGAGAGGCCGTGCAAATTCCGTCATTAGTTACGCGACACATAAGAAGAAAAAGGCTTCTATTTCTCACATGGCAGGAATTGGGAAACCATTTTTTCCCCCCTATTCCCCGTGTCCCAAGCACTCCCACCTCCTCCTCCTCCTCTCTCCTCCCCTCCTCCTCTCTCCTCTCCTCCTCCTCCTCCTCCTCCTCCTCCTCCTCCTCCTCCTCCTCCTCCTCCTCCTCCTTGGCACTCACCTGGCATCCGGCCCTCGAGTAAGCGTCCCCTTCGTATCCGAGCGGGCACTCGCAGTCGTGGCCTCCCTCGCGGTTGCGGCACTTGGCCAGGGGACCGCAGACGTCGGCTCGCTGGCACTCGTCGTAATCGGCACACTAAGGGGGGGGGGGGAGGACAGTCCCGATATGAATTATTGAGCTTTCCGATATATTTCTTATCATATATATATTTTTTTTAAGCAGAAATAGAAAAATCTCTACGTCAATCTCATTCCAAAAAATATATTTCCCAAGAAAAAAAAAATCTTCATAAACAAACATACACACTCGACACCAAACAAACAATAAAACAGACAAAAAAAAAAAGACAACAAATTAAATCAACAAATCAACGGATTCGAACGCACCCCATCGTAAGGGTTGCCAACGAAGCCATCCGGACACGCGCAGGTGTAGTTGCCGTGATGATTCGTACAGATGGCGTTACTTCCGCACGCGTTCGGGTCGGCGCATTCGTCGATGTCTGCGGGAGAAAAAAAGAGAAAATTATATTAGTTATTAGCTGATTAGGGTGATAATGATGATGATAATGATGATGATAATGATGATGATGACGATGATGATGATAATGATGAAGATGATGATGATGATGATTGTATGTATGTGTGTGTTTGGTGTTGTGTGTGTGTGTGTTTGTGTGTGTGTGTGTGTGTGTTTGTGTGTGTGTGTGTGTGTGTGTGTGTGTGGGTGTGTGTATGTGTGTGTGTGTGTGTGTGTGTGTGTGTGTGTGTGTGTGTGTGTGTGTTTGTGTGTGTGTGTGTGTGTGTGTATGTGTGTGGTGTTTGTGTGTGTGTGTGTGTGTGTGTGTGTGTGTGTGTGTGTGTGTGTGTGTGTGTGTTGTGCGTGTTGCGTGCGTGTGCGTGTGCGTGTGCGTGTGCGTGTGCGTATGTGTGCGTTTGACCGTAGCAACACTCCAACAGAAATGACTCAACAACCATATCACTCGCTATTATACGACCCTCTTCTATCCTGAAACGCAACATAATGGCAAAAGCGATGACAATAGCGTCCGCAAACATCACCTAATTTCTCCCACACTTTAATTTCGAAATGAGATCTCCGAAATGGAAGGATGCGACGAAGAATCCAGCGAAGC